CTTGAGCTATTCTGTTCTAGTTTCTTGTTGCAGTGTCAGGGGCCATCCTGACCCAGGACAGAGGCTTTGGAGGACACTTTGAGACAGACATGCTTGGCTCAGAAGTGGGAGGGACAAATCCCATCTTCAGAGTCAGCTTCTCAGTGAGGTCCAATAGCACCTGGCAATTCACCAGTATAACTCAGTCCTTTGTCAAATTGAAGACAGCCAGAGCTTACCTTCAGAAGGATCAGAGGAGAGAGAGATGAAATCCCATGCTGCTGTTGAGTTCAGTGATGCTCAAGCTGGACCCAAAGTGTCTGTCCTCCTTAGAACCTGCCTAGAGTCATCCAGATGATCTTAGCTGTTGAATCATGCTTTGGGGCCACCAAGGGACAGAAAGCATTTCCCCCCTTTAGGGTGTTCAGATTGAGAGTCTTTAAGCAGCAGGTAAGTCACATCAGTTAGCCCTGTCTGTCAGTGGAGTCAGACAATCTGAAAAATTAGTAAATACCCTCTCTCTTACAAAGAGATCAAGAGGTGGAGTAATATGACCCTTTGGTTGGTATTTTCCCATTAGAGGCCACTTTTCTAACTGTAGGCCAGGCTGGAGTGCACAAAACATCAAGTATTTCTTTCTTAAGGTCTGGGTCTTACTACAGGTTAGGGCACTTGGCTTTATCCTCTCATTGTGAATGACAACATGGGAAAGATTGGCCTGTTGGGGACCAGTGGCTTCTTTTCTTGAGGGAGACCAGAGTTTCCTCAACCTTGTCTTTTCTCATTTAGTGATGATAAAGAAAGAGCTAAACTGTAATATCTTGTGAACTTTGTGAATCTTATCTACATTTTGCCTAGTTAATCTTACCTGCCTATGTGGGACCCACCATCATAAAATTCTGGAAAGCGGCCAATTTTTAATGATTATATGAGTTTGGGAGAGTCTCAGAAAACTTGTTGGTCCAATTTATTCCACTTTTTTCAGGAGGCAGGATAGCAGAATGCCAACAGAAATCTTGGATCAACTCCTTCTATCTGTAAATGAAAGTAACATGGGAGAGTTTTAGTGGGAGCTACCCCCTTCTCCTCTTCACCCTCATCCCTCCACCCAGAGGGATGTCTCCAGGCTAGGAATGGTGGAGCTTGCTCAGTGTGGTGAGCAGAGGAAGTCATGAGTCTGTGAAATCCTGAGTGGGTGGGTGTATGTTGACATGAGCCAGCCATATCAAAGGACCAAAGTCTCAGACCTATGGGGAATCTCCCTCCCTTCCCCCATTCCCCTGAGAAGTCTCAGAGGGATGACAGAGCCTCCTCTGGTCTGAGTGAATGCTGACGATGTGTGCAGAAGATGTCTGCCATAGCTTTTTCCACCCAGATGTTTACAGCCTGAAGACTGCTCCCCTACAGAGCCCGATCTTCCAAGATTAGTTAAACCTGTCTCCTTGTTCAGCTGTACACAATAAACACCCTGAGCTCCTAGGGTGTGGTGGCTTCTCCAACCCAGAGCTCGAACCACCCAATATCAGTTTTTTTTTGTTTTTTTTTTTTTTTTTTTTTTCTGTACATGAGCCTTTCTTTATTTCTTTCCTATCCAGTCCTGGAGCGGTGCCGGACATGGTGTCCAGGAGTGCCTCTCAGGGATTATTCCCAGATGGTGGGATTGAACCATACTTATTATGGCCCCTAGTTCCCACCCCTAATGCTTTTGCTTGTATTCAAGATGCCTGTGTTACAAAGAAAAGTAATTTCTCCCTAACCTTTTGCACAATGATTGTGCAAGGGTGAAGAGGGCCAACCTCTCAAGAGAGGGACTTTTTTCTTGTGCTACCTGGCTTGAATAGGACATGACTCAGACTATCTGGTTTTAGAAAGACCAGTGTGTAACTATGTGCCAGATTAGAGGGAGCTGGGTCCCGGTAGACCTCACACAGCAAGTGGAGGAGATGGCTTCCTCCCAGAAATGTTCCTGATTCCTTTTCATTCATGAGCTCAACGGCCTTGCTGGAAGGTTGGGGACATGTTAGTCCAAGTGGCCCAGACAAGGCCATGATGTCCTCGAGGTCATGTCTCCCAGCACTTAATCCAATTTCTGGTCAGGGGGCAGAAGGAGCAAGGGAGTTTAGGAGCATATAAATGTGTAAACAGGAAATTAGCCACAAGGGCTATTGTTTGAGCCCAGATATCCCTGGCGAAAGCTGTCCAGCTCTTAAGGGACAGTGAATTCTTCCAGTCATCTTCCCAAGGACAGGAGCTCACACAGAGAAGAGGGGAAAAAAGAATACCAGCCCGGGGTTCCATGCATGCTAGCCACGCTTGGGGGCACCCCCTTTCAAGTATATTTCAAGAAAGACACTGGCAAATTGACCATTCTCTCAGGTCCCTCTTGGGTCTGGCTAGGAAAGGATTGGCCTTGAGACATCTCAGATGAGCCCATAAAATGATAGTGTCTAGTGATGCAGGAATGGGTTCCTTTTCTCTGCCAATTAAATAACTAAAAGCCAGGAGAGAAGTGTTACTAGGAGTCGTGGGGAGTCCCTGCAGAGACATGGTATCTCCAGTCTCATTAATACACTCCAGGATAAAGAACAGACTCAGAATTTTAAGGACCATTTTTAAATATTATTTTATTTTGTGTGTGTTGGTGTTTTGTCTGCATGTATATCTGTGTATGTCTGGTACCCACAGAGGTCAGAAGAGGGCCTGGAGTCCCCTGAGCTGTCACATGCTGAGAATTGAACTCAGATCCTCTGGAAAGGCAGCCAGTGCTATTTTTCTTTTTCTTTCTTTCTTCCTTCCTTCCTTCTTTCTTTCTTTCTTTCTTTCTTTTTTTTTTTTTTTTTTTTTTTTTTTTTTTTTTGGTTTTTTCGAGACAGGGTTTCTCTGTGTAGCTTTGGAGCCTGTCCTGGATCTCACTTTCTAGACTAGTCTGGCCTTGAACTCACAGAGATCTGCCTGGCAACCAGTGCTCTTAACCTCTGATGCATCACTTTAGCTCTGAGGACCATTGATTGGAATTTAAAAAGAACCCCCCAGGGGTGGGGTGACAGGGGTGGGGTGGGGTGGAAGGTGGGGAGGGGGCTTGCTCTAGGTCTCACAGCTTCCTGGAAGGGAGGAGAATGGAGAAGAACAAATGTCATGGCACTTGAGACCAGGTGGTATGCAGTCAGCCACTTGGCAGCAGGGAGCCACAGGGTCAGGAGGGCAACTTTAGAAAAGGAGCCAGGGCCAGGCAGTGGTGGTGCATGCCTTTAATCTCAGCACTTGGGGGACAGAGCCAGGCAAACTCTCTGTGAGTTCGAGGCCAGCCTGGTCTACAGAGGGAGTTCCAGGACAGGCTCCAAAGATACACAGAGAAACCCTGTCTCGGGAAAGAAAAAAAGAAAAGAAAAGGAGCCAGGAAGAGCCCAGAGTACTAGCTAGGGAGTTGAAAAGCATACCCCAAAACATCATTATTACTGATTTCCACTCTCTTTGCATAAATATTCTTTTTTAGTTTTTTTAAAAATATTTATTTATTTATTTATTTTTATTTACATCTGTGTGTGTGTGTGTGTGTGTGTGTGTGTGTGTGTGTTTGACTATGTGCATGCTGGTACCTGCAAGAGGCCAGAGGATATTGACTCCCCTGAAGCTGAAATTTTAGGGAGTTGTGAGCCACACAGTGTGAGTGCTGGGGACTGAATTCTGGTCCTCTCAACAGCCACATTCTTAACAGCTGAGTCATTCTTTCAGCCTGGGAGAGATGTTCCTTATGCTGTAGAAAATGTTATGCTCCTGCTGACAACTTCACTTGAACTTGTCTTAAGATAATGGGTAACACTGGTACCATTTGCCCAGATGAGAGGTAGGATGTGGGGAGAGGGGGGTCCTTTAATGACAAGGTGCAGTCCAAGGGCTTATAGCTCAGCAGGTGAGTCCTGAGTGCTGGGCTTTCAAGGGATCTAACCTACCGATCATTTCAAAAATGGAGAAACTGAGGCTGAAAGGAAGGAAGACACACCCCCAGTGTGATGGTTTGAATATTGATGATACCCCTAAATTCATTTGCTGGGAATAGTTTTTTTGTTTTTGTTTTGTGTGTGCATTTTTTTTTTTTTTTTTTGAGACAGAGTTTCTCTGTGTAGCTTTGAGCCTTTCCTGGAACTCACTCTGTAGCCCAGGCTGGCCTCGAAGTCCGAAAGATACACCTGCCTCTGCCTCCCGAGTGCTGCAATTAAAGCCGTGCGCCACCACCGCCCGGCTTGCTGGGAATAGTTTTAAGAGTTGGGGCCTTTGGGGAAGGCATTAAATCTGGGGAGTCTACCTCTCATAAAAGGGATCTGTGTGTCCCTTCCACTATGTGTGGGCCCAGCAAAGAGTTGCCCACCTTAAAGGAGAGAGCTAGCCTTCACTAGACATGGAGTCTGCAGGAGCCTTTACCTTGGTCTACCGGTACACCCCTGCTCAAAAACTACATCTAAGACTCTTTGCTATGACCGTCCAAAGGGGACTAAGATGCGCGAGGAACGGAGAACCTAGCGTTCCTAGGAGCAGGAAGGCCAACCTTGTCAAATGGAATGCCACCGGGGACCACAGGATGCTGAGCACAGCTGGAATCTTTACTGCTTGCTGGCATCCATATCTTGGGTTTGCAGGCCTAGGAGGAACCTGCTGGGGGTAGACTTTTTGTGTCTGTCAAGTAATACTTTAGGTTTCCCGTTTGGGAAATGGGGACAATTGGAAATTCTAACACACTAGACAGGGCGCGGAGGCCTTTGAAGACATTTTGCCATCAAATAAACCAGTCACAGAAGGACTAGGAGCCGGCCCCCTTTGCACCCCCTCTGCCCACTCAGGGGAGGCCAGCAGTCCCTTCTGTCTCACCCTGTGCTAGACTCGGGTGCCTGTCTCTTGGACTGCAAGCTCAGGTCCGCTCCCCTTTTAAAAAGAAGGGCCAGGCTCCAGGCTCCGCCCATTGGAGGCGTGGCAACACTAGGTCTAGACGGGACCGCAGACGTCGAGCCTGAGTTTGTTTGTTTGTTTGTTTGTTGTTGTTGTTGTTGTTGTTTTCAGAGTCTGGCCCGTTACGGAATTGGTTCCCGCTGCCGGTGCCATGGTCTTGGAGCTCTACCTGGACCTGCTGTCCCAGCCCTGTCGCGCCATTTATATCTTCGCCAAGAAAAACGGCATCCCGGTCCAGATGCATACGGTGGAGCTGCGCAAGGGTGGGCAGGGCCTCGGCTTTGGAGACCTGAGAGATGGGGGGGGGGGGGGGGCGCCGAGCTTAGGGGATTCCTTTCTGTACCGTCCGTCCTCTTCCTGGGCTTTTTTCTGGTTTAGTGACCAAGTGAGAAAAGAGCCACCAGGGAGATCCACGGCTCAGGACTCCCGCAAACTCTGCTGTCCCATGGAATAGACGGCCAGGACCTGCTGAAACCGAACAGCAGGCAGACCTGGCAACAGAAACGGGTGTAGTTTGGGCCTATGGACAGGGACCTCCGGAGGAGCGGGCCTGGGGAGAGGGCTAAGGAGAGTGAATGTGGAGATCTGCATAGTTACCCTCTCGTTTTCTCCAGTGCTGAGATAGAACCTCCATTGCAGGAACCTGTCTTTCCACCAGCCTCTCTCCGCCACCCTGGTCTGTCTGCTGGAGTCCCCTTTGCCCTTCCTCCTCCTGCCTTCCTCTTTTTACCTCCCTTCGCTCTCTGCCTCTCTTGCTTGCTCAGGGGAGAGAGGCTGCTGTGTGGGGTATTCCGGAGCCTTGCCTCCTCCCTGTTGGCTGCTGAGGGAGGCCCTCACCCTGGCAAGACAGGGTTGTAGCAGAAGGTGTTGTTTAAGGCGCCTTTGGTCATCTCCTCATCTCCGTACTGTCTCACGGCTTGTCTCTCCGTCTGGAACTTCACCTCTTCACCGTCGCCTCTGTGGACAGTGCACTTAAACCCCACAGGTGCTGCTCCTGCAGAGTCTGATGTAGGGAGCTGTGGGGTCGGGGACCGACAAAGGGATGTTTGAGTTGGCTGTCAAAAATAAGGGTGCAGAGGGAGATGGATTTCCACCAGGAGAAGAAGGGGAGGTGATAGCCCTCATCTGATCTAGGGCAGGGGGAACCACTGAGGTCTTTTGGGCCAAGCAGCAAGGAGACATGGTAGAAACGTTTGTCTGGCTGCATCAACAGAAGGAAAAACAATCTAGGTTAATTCAAGCAGAGACCAGGGTCCCAAGGGACTCTGGGGGCACTTTTCAGGGCTGCCAGTGGGGCAAGTCCCAGAGGACCCATCAATAGAGTGTGAAGTCTGTTTTGTATCAAGGGCAAGGGGCAGTTTTCTCTCCTCTCACGGCAGCCAGCCCTGCCTGCACTTCCCATCTAGGGGAGGCAGCCTAGTTCCAAGAAGAACCATGAATTTAGTGTTTGGCATCCTAGGACCTCGGCCCAGTGTTCTACCCTCATCCCCCTCATGCTGGACTATCTGCAGGTGAGCACCTGAGCGATGCGTTTGCCCAGGTGAACCCCATGAAGAAGGTACCAGCCATGAAGGACAATGACTTCACCTTGAGCGAGAGGTAATGGGGCCCTGGGGGGCCTTTGCCAAGCTTGACTGGAATCAGCCTGTTGTAACCCTCCACGTTATAAACTATGAAGCTGGAGCTGGAGTGCTTGAGAGTATTTACTGCTCTTGCAGAGAACCTAGATTTGGTTCCCGCACTCACAAGAGGCAACTCACAACCACTTATAACTCCAGCTCTAGGGATCCATTGCCCTCTAGCATCTGTGGGCACGAAAACTCATGTAGACACACACTAGGAACCTCAACTCCCTAGAGCACTGGTTCTCAATCTTCTTAGTGCTGAGACCCTTGAATACTGTTCCTCATGCTGTGGTGACCCTCAACCATAAAATTATTTTCATAGCTACTGTTATGAATCATGATGTAAATATCTGATATTTCCGATGGTTTTAGGCAACCCTTATGAAAGGGTTGTTCTACCCCAAATGGGGTCGTGACCTGAGAACCTCTGCCCTAGAGGCAATGGACTGCTGTGCTCCATATCCTACAGAGTTGGGGCTGGAACCCAGGACCCTGCCTACCCACTGCCCAGTTCACTGAGCTGATTTGGGGGAAGATAATACATCTACTTGACTTCTCTACCAGGTTGTGGTTGTTGATTAAAATACCCCTGGTGCAGGGAAGGTGGGAAGCTCACCCCACCATGGCCACCATACTATAGCCCAGCTGGTGTAAAGAGGATCCTGTGGCATCTGGGCTTTCCAGTGCCTCAAGTACGAGGGTCCCTGGGGTTCCCTTGCATGAGTCTTCCTTATGAAATAAGAATGTTTTCATATCCTAGCAGGGCCCAAAATGGTGAAACTCCCCTTTTCAGAGAAGCTAAACCTTTTTCTCAGTTCTGCCTTTTCTTGTCACACAAGTCACCTACCCTGTAGCAGAGGGACTCAAAAGGGTATGCTTTGAGCTCATTTCTTATCTGTCATGATCAATGTAGTCCAACCAAGACACCGCCATTCTCTCTTCCTGTTGCTCCCGCTGTCCTGGATGCTTTAATTTGCAGAGTTGCACCCTATCAGGTGCCAACCAGGGGCATCTTGCAGCCTCTGCATGTCCCCCTGCATGCCATCGTCACCCTGGGGAGGTGTGTGACCTCCTGCAGCCCTCCTCAGAGGTGACTCAAACACTTAGCTATAGCACAAAGAGCTTGTCCTACTTGGGAAACTGAGGCATTAAGCTGGGCTGTGGACGCAGGTCTGTGTCTTAGACAAGGCCTTACTAGATAGCTTAGTCAGGTCTCAACATTGTACTTCTGCCTGCCTGTTTGCCTGCCTCTTCCTCTTGTGTGCTGTGAATTTATGTCGTCGTGTGACGTAACGTTTCCTGTGGAGACACTGTACACACATCTATTCACTCCAGACAGGGAGCCCATGACAGACCAAAATATGGATACCACCTGAAGAAGACCCACCACCTCCCTCCCTCCCTCTGCATGCACAGTGGGGGTTTCCTCCCAGACCCTGGATGAGGCACAAACTACACCCAAACACTTGTGTGGGTTTTTTTTTTTTTTTTTTTTTTTTTTTTGATTTTTTTTTTTTTTTTTTTTTTTTGCAGAGAGATCCTTTACTAAATGGAAAAGAAAGTTAAAGTGTCTGCTTTTGACTCAGGCAGAAAAACAACAGCAAATGACCGTGCAGGTGTGATTTTTAAGAGAAGAAGAAAAGGGGGGCTCTGTGTTAGGATGGGCTAGGATGTGGCAGGGTATTTTGGGCATGTTCATTAGGTGACTCAGAGGGGGCTTTTGACTGCTGGGCTTGGGTACTCATCCTCAGGAATGAGTTGGGCGTAAGACAGTATCCAAATAAGAGAACAGCCCTTGGTGGCTAACTTTAGGGATGTAATCTACGGTTTACAAGGGAGAGGGAAGGAGGAAGGGGAAGGGGGGGGAGGAGAAAGAACAAGGCCTGCCAGCACCATCGTGTCAGGTCCAGACCAGCCGGAGTCCCTTCACCACCAAAGTCCGACTTGGGAAATTAGTGAGTTTTATTGGGGTTTCATATAGGGGTGAGGGTGAGGGTTTACTTACAGGAGCAGAAGTGGCTCAAAGACAGCTGCACCACCTAAGACCACCCCAGCATAGCTGGGAAGCTGGAGCACACTGCACAGCCTGCCGACAGCTTGACAGGTTAGAGAGCGTCCTTTCTAAGGGACTCAGTTGGTCTAAACTTCTCTCAGGCGGCTCAGCTGGTTTCTGCTTCTTCTAGGCAGCTGGTCTGATCTCAGAGTCTTCTTTGCTGCTTCTCTTGTCCGCCAGAGACTCTCGGTCGTCTTTATTGTTTACTTCGGGGAGGAGGGCCTGGGGAATCTGCTCAGTTTCAGGGACTTCCTTTAAGGGGCTTCCCTACAGGATGGAGTGTCTTGAACTTGGGGGAAACTGTTAGACAATGTGTGTCCATCCCACTCTTCCCAATACCAGAGTTTCTTGACTGAAATCTTCAAGTGTCCTTTAGAGTCCGTCTCTACAGTAGTTGGCACAACCCAAGGCAGGAAAAAGAGTTCCAGGGAGCCTCATTTGTTCTGTGGTTCCAGGATCTTACAGGTCCCTGAGTGTTTGAGTAAGATTTTAAAGAACCAAGCTGACCCTTAGCACAACGAGTGACATAAGGAACAGAGGCCAGGTGTATGGCTCATGCCCGCCACCCTAGCGCTCCAAAGGATTATGGATTTGAGGGTAGCCTAGGCTGTCTCAAAGAACAAAGGGAGAGTTGAGAAAGCCTTTTTGAACCATCAGGCCATCTGAGGCTGCCTGAATGCTGAAGGATGAGAGTGGATGTAGCCTGTAAAAAAAGCTTCCTCAAAGCTCTGCTTAGACGTCCCTCCTCCAGGAAGCTCTCTGGCCCTATACCCAGAAACTGAACCCTTGACAGGACCCTCAGTGGTGAGATTCTGCCTAGTGGTAGACTAGTCTTCGGTATTGACCTCAGGAAGACAAGACTCAGTTCTGGCGCTAAGAGCTCTCTTCCCCCGGGGACAAGGCTCCTCCCTATTCGGAGCCTACTTTCCATGTTCTGAGAAAGAGGCTCAGACTGGCAAATTGTCAGAAAGATCAGAAAAGGTAGGGGCTAGAGCGATGGCTCAGCAGCTCAGAGCACTGGCCACTCTTCCAGAGGTCCTGAGTTCAATTCCCAGCAAACCATATGGCTACTCACAACCATCTACAATGAGATTGGACGCCCTCTCTGGCATGCAGGCATACATGCAGTCAAAGTACTCATTGACACAAAATACATAAAATAAATCTTAAAAATAAAAGGAAAAGGTTATAAAAGGTCCTGGGCATCGAGTCAACCCCGTGGTGTTTGACTGGTCACCTTGCTCCTCTGCTTACACAGTGTGGCCATCCTGCTCTACCTAACACACAAGTTCAAGGTCCCTGACCACTGGTACCCCCAAGACCTGCAGGCCCGTGCTCGTGTGGACGAGTACCTGGCGTGGCAGCACACAGCCCTTCGGAGAAGCTGCCTCCGGGCTCTGTGGCATAAGGTGAGACTGGACCTGTGGGGGAAGGGAGGGGAAATGTGAGCGAAGGGAGGGGAGGGAAGACTTGCCATGGCGAATTATTTTCAGTTTGGTGTTTTCTAATGTCTTGCCTTCAGCTTAGCCAATCCTATTGTGCCCAGGTTGTTTGTTACTCAATACCATCTTTATTTGAGACATCTATTTTTTGTTTGTAGAAAAGCCATTTGGTTCTTTTTGTGGAGTTACATTTCTGAGCCAAAATTTACCATCTGTTCACCCTCTTTGGTTATCTTTCTATTTGAAGATTTTTTAATAGATTTGTTACTGTTTCGTAATTTATTTGTTGTGTATGTGTGCCGGGAGCCACCTTGTGCAGATGGAAGTCAGAGGACAGCTTTGGGCAATCAGTTGTCACGTTCCACATTGGTGAGGCAGACTGTCCTTTGTCTCTGCTGTTGTGCTGTGCACTCGGGGCTATCTGACCTCCGACCTCTGAGCTTCTGTCTCAGGCCGTTTTCCCTCCCACTGTAGGAAAGCTGGGGTTCCAGCACAGCTGGCTCTTTATGTGGGTTCTGGAGAACTGAACTGAGGTGGTGAGGGTTGTCAGGCTTGCCTGCCTAGGACGGTCACCTTCTGAGACACCTCCAGACTCTGCTACCATTACTTAAACGTCCTCTTCAGTTGGCTGGTAATGTAGCTTAGTGGTAGAGCAGTTGTGTAACAAGCGTAGTGTCTTAGGTTCAGATCTCAGCTCCTGGTGTGTATGTGTGTGCATCTGGTGTGTGTGTGTGTGTGTGTGTGTGTGTGTGTGTGTGTGTGTGTGTGTGT